AGCTGAAGGAGCTGCCGGGGGAGGCGTACGGATCAGCTGCCTCACACCTGGGAGCCGCTCCGGGCGGAGCGGTCTGGTCCGCAGCGCGGTTAGCGGAGGTGCGGCGCAGGTCTGCAGCCCTAACTGGTGACAAAAGGTGGCATGTGGCACTGAGGGGGATACCTGCTCTTCATGGGGAAATACTGCTTCGTCCTGCGGGTGGGGTGCCCCAGCTGTAGGTGTTTATTTATGAGCTATGTGTCTAGGCTGCCGTTAGGAGCACTCGTTAGGGTCCGGACAGCCGTTCTGCCCCAGCTGAAGGAGAACTACCCGGCCGCCTACCGAGAGGCTTCCTGGGCTCCCTGGGCTGTAACGGCCGGATCCGCCTCACCTGGAACGAGCAGCGCGGCCCGCAGCTCACCGCTGAGAACAAATCCGAGTGTGAGTTCACTTCACGGGTCCATCTGTCCCAGCGCGCTGCCTCCAGCAGAGGCCAGGATCCAGATGGGACCTGTACAGATCCATCTAGGGAGCTGTAAAAACAGAGCAGGAGTATGCAAGTCTTCCCTAGAGGCCTCTGCATAGAGGGTTTGGTGAGCTTGTCTGTTGAGTAGGATGCAATGGCTTGTCTAGTCTACTCACTAGCGACTGCAAGGACGACATCTGTTAAAGACTTTGAACCTGGCTCCTGTGGGTTTCATTTGATGCTCGTGGCTTTTCTTACTGGAATGGGTAGTCCATTGCTGTCTGTTCTATCTGTGGCACTCGATATTTGTAATAGACTCTCCCCTCCCTCCAACATACTCTTTTCCAGCCCACATTTATGGTTGCTGTTGTGGAAGCAGTTCCATTCTTCCGACGATCCTTGTCAACCTACCTTGAAACTTTTCTGGTTTTGTCTCTTGCTTTTAAGTGTAAGGGACCAGAATTGCACTCAGTATTCACAGTGTGAATTAACTGGGAATTTGTGGAACAGCACCATCGTGTTTTTCTTTTCCTATTCTAGTAGGTCGAGTCATCTACG